GGTCATGTGCTTGGAGCATCCGCTATCAAGGTACCAAAGTACACTTGATGCCTTCAAGCACACCTATGAAACACATCAATGAGTTTTAGGTACCCAATTTACGTTGGGTCCTCGGGTGTTAGGTGTGTGATGGTAGTGTGCTTGATTTTGTGACAGGTGCCTATGCCTAGCGTAACAAACGGGAGCAATATGGCCTATCCTATTACAATAATGGCAAACTACATTGGGGTTGTACATGTGCCTAGGTTCATAATAGTTAGAAGGTTTAACCATTTTGTTCCTATTTTGTGAAAATGATGGTTTTTGGAAATTTTGAAACTGGCCTCTTCTAGGTGTTCTAGCATTATTTCTTCTTATTTGAGAAAATTCATTTTTATGCACAAAATCATTTTTCTTAGGTTGTTTACCATGACGGTTTTCATTCCTAGGTTTTAGTCTTGGTTGTCTAGTGTCCTTAGTTTGACTAGGTTTTCTATTATCTTGATTTTTAGGTTTCTTATGTTGAACCTTAGATGATTGTCTAGGTGGTGGTTCAACATTATCTTTAGCTTTATTTTTATCAAAACCTATTCCTTCCTTAGAAAAATGCATAGTGTCAAGAAGTAAATTCAAGTCTCTGTGAGGAGTATTAAATTTCTTGACCATGCTCTCAAGTTTAGCGACTTGCTCTTTTAAAGCTTTGCAAGACCCACATTCACTTGATGAGCTTTCTGGTTTGTCAGCGCTTCTTTTTCCAAAAAAATTGTTTTCTTGTTTAAGTATTTCAGTTTCTTTTTCCAATTTTTCAAAATCGTTTTCAAGTAAAGAAAGTCGTTTCTTCAAAGATTTATTTGTTTTGGAAACGCTAACAAATTCCTCATAAAGTTCATGAAGTGCTTCTTGCATTTCTTCAAAAGTATAAGAGTCGGAAGAAATGTTACATACCTCTTGGACGTCGTCGCTTTGATCTTCGTGCGCCATGAGGCAGACATTTGCAGCTTCGTCCTCCTCTTGGTCGGTTGATTCGTCGCCGGAATCGCCACCCCAAGAGATGTAGGCCCTTTGCTTCTTGAAGCCAGGCTTGTCCTTGCCGTGTTCGGCCTTTGGACACCTTGGCTTGATGTGGCCAATCTCGCCACAGCCGTAGCTTTTGGGAGGACCGTCGTGCTTCCTTCCCTTCCGCTCAAATTCCTTTTTCATGAACTTGTGGAACTTCTTGATGACGAGCCCGAATTCATTGTCGTCATCGCTTGAAGCCTCTTCCACCGGTTCCTTGGTGGCTTTGAGAGTTATCCCCTTTTTCTTTTGTTCATCCAAAGACGGGGTTAGAATAGTAGATTCGTACGTTTTAAGGTTACCTCTTAGCCCGTCGATGGTGACGTTGGAGACTCCGATGGATTCGTAGATTGCATCAGCTTTTGACCTCCATTCGGGTGTGAGACTCCGCAAGATTTTCCTCACAAGATCCTTGTTGGTGTAAGTCTTTTTGAGAGCATGAAGATCGTTGATGATCTTTGAGAACCGGTCGAACATGTCATCGATTTTCTCACCTTCTTTCATTCGGAACATTTCATACTCTTGGGTGAGAAAATCGATCTTGGCTTCACGCACTTGATCGATACCTTCGTACGTTACTTCAAGCTTGTCCCACATCTCCTTGGCGGTTGTGCAACAGGAGATCTTTCAGTAGTCATCGGGGTTGACCGCGCAATATAGCATGTTGATGGCCTTTGCATAGTTTTCAATCTTCTTGATGTCCTCGGCATCAAATTCGTTTTCGGTCTTTGGGACCGTGGTTTCTCCCACTTTCTTCATAGGGATTTCTTCGCCATTTTTGATCACCAACCACAATTGGAAGTTGGTGGAACGAATATAGATTCTCACCCGTTCCTTCCAATAAGAGTAGTTGGTGCCATCAAAGAGTGGTGGCCTAGAGGTTGATTGACCTTCTCCAATTCCTGCATAGAGATTTCTAGAAGAAGAACCCATGATCGCTTTACTCTCAAACGGTTAAGTTTGGACGCGAGTTAGGCTCTGATACCAATTGTTAGAATAATAGACCAACGCTAGAGGGGGGTGAATAGCGTTTGATCAAGAAATCGCAGGAATAAAAAAATGAATAAACGAGAAGTAAAGATGCACACGGATTTTACCCTGGTTCACCACAACTTGTGGCTAATCCAGCCTCCCGAGAGACTCTCTCGAGCTACACTACTATCTCGTTAAGCTTAACGGTGCTTAACAAACCCATACAACTTGAGAATTCGAGTCACACGAACCTCAACGAACCTTCGAAGGAAACAGCCCTTCCTTCGAACAACAAGAGAGATACCTTCTCTTGTCAAGTGTCTAAGAACACTAAAAACACTCAAGAACAATACTCTCTTTTAGAGTGGATAAAGAGTAAACTAAGAACGCTCAAAAACACAACACAAGCTTCACAAAAATGGCTCTCAAAAGCTATGAATAATTAAAGAATGATTTGGAATGAAAGAATAGGAGTTGTGAAGTAATGTGATGTGTAAAACAGACCCAAACACCCCATTTTATAGTAGAAAAATAGGCTCCAACGGACCAAAGTATTTAAGGGGTGATTGGCACAATTTGTGGGATTTGATAAAATTTGGATCTGCTGAAAATCACCCAGACAGCGCTGTCCTAGGCCTGGACATCGCTGTTCTAGGCTTGCGGTTTGAAAAATGGGAAGCAACGGTCATGCCAACAGCGATGTCTAAAATCNACAAGCTTCACAAAAATGGCTCTCAAAAGCTATGAATAATTGAAGAATGATTTGCAATGAAAGAGTAGGAGTTGTGAAGTAATGTGATGTGTAAAACAGACCCAAACACCCCATTTTATAGTAGAAAAATAGGCTCCAACGGACCAAAGTATTTAAGGGGTGATTGGCACAATTTGTGGGATTTGATAAAATTTGGATCTGCTGAAAATCACCCAGACAGCGCTGTCCTAGGCCTGGACATCGCTGTTCTAGGCTTGCGGTTTGAAAAATGGGAAGCAACGGTCATGCCAACAGCGATGTCTAAAATCACTACATCGCTGTTTTGGCTGTTGACTTCCAAACAAGGAAAGTTTTAGCCTTAAATTCCTTCCAACGGTCAGGTCTCTACATCGATGTTCTATACTAGAACATCGCTGTTTAGGTCTGCCTTTGAAGATGGAAGTTTGGCCTGACAGCGCTGTTGCTAGGTCAACATCGCTGTCCAAAAACTTTCTGCCAAAGCACTATATTTTTGGCTTAGGTTGGACAGCGCTGTAGGGAAGCCTACATCGCTGTTCCAGAAGTTTCTAGAAATCCAACCTTGGCTCAACAGCGATGTCTGGTGTCCAACATCGTTGTTGGAAGACTTAACGCCAAACCATGTTTTTAGCTACCCATGCCAGACAGCGCTGTTGATTACCTCAACATCGCTGTTGGAAGGGTTTAGCCAGACCCATGGTTTGTTTAGTCACGCCGTTAGCCGATGTCAAAAACGCAAGTTCTCCAAAATTAAAACCAAGTTTAGAAAACATTTTTTTATTGCATTTTGCTAAGAAATCAAGTAAAACATCTTAAAAACCACGTCATTTAGTTGAAAACCACGGCTAACCAAGTTCGTGTCGTTTCGCATGGTTTTCACTAAACGACTAAAATCGCAAAGTGGTTTTTTAGGCGTTTTTGTTGGAGAACTATTTAAATATGCCCAGAAGTAAAAACCAGTCATAAAAAGTTGAAAACCACTTGGTTGATTCGGACGCCAAAAACCAATGCCGAAAATCGAGAGCCGAACGCCGGATGGATTGGTTTTTGGTTTGGGCGAACTCCAAGCGTTTTTACCCAAGTTTAAACTTAAGAAAAATATTTTTGAACATATAAAAGAAATTTTTATCAATTGAGCCTAGAGAGCCAAGATTTGGAATTTTGTGCCGGTCTTGATCACATTAAGACCGACTCAATACAATTCTAATTCTTCGTTCTTGATTCTGGGTTCTTGGTTCTCTAGTCATCATGCCATGTTTCTTCGCCTTAGTTTTGCTCACTTTAGCTTTGATGTGTCGCGGCGGTTTGGCATTATCAAAACTTGTCATAAAAACGAACACAGTTTAGTACGACGTAGGCGTAAACCCGTGTTCCAACATTGTGTATTGGTACAAGATTAATTGTTGAAGAGATGCGAAAAAAATATTAACCGTGTAATCGTGGTTTCAAGAAATCGAGACGGGGAAAAGGTTTACATACCTCAAACAAATTTGGTACCATATGATCTAAGGCTACCCCCTAAAATTTCAAAAAAGACAATTCACAGTAGTTTTATGCTTTGCTATGATTATTAACAAAAGTTAAGGTGAAACATTATCTTTTGTTAGATTATTTTAACTAAGTCAGTATTCATTTATGATCAATTTTATGTTGTTGCTTCACGAGTGAAAATAAATACATGATTAAAAATGTTTATTTTAGATGAGAATAGAAATCCTTGCAACCATATAAAAAATGTTGTATACCCTGAATTGTTTCAAAAAATCATGTAAAAAATTAATTTTCTTTAATCCGCAAAAAATATTACATGAAAAAAATAGGAATCGACAAAAAATTTATTCAGCCCCATGCAAGGCATGGGTCAAAATACTAGTGCGTGTAAAAAAAAGAAACTCTCATCTTATATTTTTATATTGGGCCTTTGGGATATTCCCAAACACGCCCATTGTAGAAACATGAAATATGAGTAGTTAAGAATAGAAGGGACACTATTTACATATGAAGGCAAAATGTGGGGTCAAATTCAGATTAGAATCACTAATCAAACCCCCACCCCAAATCCATAGCTGTTTTACCCCAAATCTATTCATCTCAGCTCGGGGCTCCTTCCTCCTCACTCGCTAAACTATAAACGACGTAAGCTCCTTCCTCAAATGGCCGATCATCCGCACACTCCTGTGGAGATGTTGGTTCTTTTTGAAACCCCCGCTGGCTTTGCCATTTTCAAATTATTAAGCGAACAAAAGCTTTCGAAAAAGTTGAGGTGCGTACCTATGTTTGTGTATTTACGACTGCATAATTGTCTTTTGCTCTCATGGACACTCATAGAATTATGATTTTCTTTATCAGGATCTATGGAAGCATTTTTCTACTCTGGATTCCGCTCACAGGGTTCAATTTCTAGTTAAGAATAAATAAAGAATTTGAATTTATGATGTGAACTTTGAATTGATTTATTGAAATAAATCATGAGGGTAAATAATATGAATTAAATGCAAGAACCTTTTTAAATAAAGGTCAACTAAATCAATTTTGACTCTGTCAAGGTCAATACATGATTAAAAATGTTTATTTTAGATGAGAATAAAAATCCTTGCAACCATACAAAAAATGTTGTATACCCTGAAGTGTTTCAAAAAATCATGTAAAAATTAATTTTCTTTAATCCGCAAAAAAAAATACATGAAAAAAATAGGAATCGACAAAAAATTCATTCGGCCCCATGCACGGCACGGGTCAAAATACTAGTACGTGTAAAAAAGAAACTCTCATCTTATATTTCTAGGGCCTTTGGGTTATTCCCAAATGCGCCCATTGTAGAAACATGAAATATGAGTAGTTAAGAATAGAAGGGACACTATTTGCATATGAAGGCAAAATGTGGGGTCAAATTCAGATTAGAATCACTAATCAAACCCCCACCACAAATCCATTGTTGTTTTCCCCAAATCTATTCATGTCAGCTCAGGGCTCCTTCCTCATCACTTGCTAAACCATAAACGACGTAAGCTCCTTCCTCAAATGGCTGATCATCCGCTCACTCGTGTGGAGATGTTGGTTCTGTTTGAAACCCCCGATGGCTTTGCCATTTTCAAATTATTGGACGAACAAAAGCTTTCGAAAAGTTGAGGTACGTATCTATGTTTGTGTATTTACGACTGCATAATTGTCTTTTGCTCTCATGGACACTCATAGAATTATGATTTTCTTTATCAAGATCTATGGAAGGATTTTTCTACTCTGGATTCCGCTCGCAGGGTTCGATTTCTAGTTAAGGATAAATAAAGAATTTGAATTTATGATGTGAACTTTGAAATGATTTATTGAAATAAATCATGAGGGTAAATAATATGAATTAAATGTAAGAACCTTTTTGAATAAAGGTCAACTAAATCAATTTTGACTCTGTCAAGGTCAAACCCCCAAAAATATGATGTGAAAAAAAGCATTTCAAAAAAATATAAAAAGTATATCGTTAGATAGAGTTTAACTGTCTTCTCACAACGGTGCATATTGATTTCAATTCGGAGAAAGTTGGACAAAAAAGTGTACCCCGACTGTAACCAAAATTAGTCTCAATCAGATAAGATGTAAACAACGCCTCCTCCTCCTCCACTATCGATCGTAAATTGAAATCCTACGCAGCAACAACTTAACAACGATCTTCCTCTTTTTTCTTCACGCTATATAAAGGAGAACCCATTCCTCCTTTTCTTCACCAAATTTTCTGAAAATTGTTCCATAAGAACTTGGATTAGAGTAGTTGGTTAGGAGCTCGGTGCTACAGAGGTTTTTTGTAGTGTGTTGTGTTTGATTGGAATCTTCTATTAATGCTTGTAGAACTTTCATTTCATTGTACTTGGTGCTTTATCCATGCTATACTGTGTACCCTATCATATTTTTTGTGCAGGTTGAGCCGGGGGTCTCTTGGAAACAGCCTCCCTGCTTCCGAGTAGGGGCAAGGTCTGCGTACACAAACCCTCCCCAGACCCTACTGT